CCCTTCTGGAGTGGGGAGGGGTCACTGGGTAGTAGAACAGCTGACTATTGCTTAGCCCGGGATACGGGCTGAATGTAGGCAGAGGAGGAGCACAATAACTTTGATTGCACACCAGTTTGAATTCTTTCGATTAACTGATTTGTGAATAGTTTTCTTATGTAAATTGGACCATTTCCTGCTTCTGAAACTACAGGCACAAGGATCCACAGACCCCCAGCAGCCTTGACAGGGTTCAGTTCACGTCCGAGAACTGTCCAAAATCGCAGGGCTGCACTGCGAGGGACTCGTTCGTTTTGAGAAAGATCTGATTTTTCTGCTTGTCTGTTCCCGGGCTGTGGAGGTTTGGAAGCAAAAAGCTGATGAAGTGGTGTTTGGTGTTGTGGGTTTTTTCTGTAATTATGAATGGTTTTATTCCACGTTTAACAGAAAATCCAACTACCTGACTTTTGTAACAAAACCATTCAGATTTCTAATCAGCTTTTTCTTGGATTTGTTTTCTTTGAGCTCCCTATCACCAAACTGTCTGAATAACAACATAAGACTTTTTAAGCTCAAAGATATGTAAAATAATTTTTAGCCAAGTAACTAGTGTCAGAATTCAAGTCACTGATTGGTGTTTATAGCTGGTCAAATTGTTTGGAAAGGAATTGTTCAGCACTGTAATCTGCAGAATCAGTCCTTTGTGGAAGAACCTGTAAAGAGCCTTCCTGCCACTCTGCAGAACCTACTTCTGATTATCTGAAGCCGGGGCTGGAGCTGATATTAAACTTCTTTAGGGTTTAGATTAATTGTGTGAAAACCCACACGTGCTTGAAGGAAAATCTGCATTTTGAAAGCATTTAGACTAGAGAGAAATTGGGACTGCTGTTGACAAACCAGCGCTTCTCTTGCCATGGCAGAATAACCTGAGCTTTTTTTCCCCAAAGCACGTTTGGTGTGTATTAAAGTAGAACACCCTGTTTTGGTTTGGTTTTTGTTGGGTTTGGGTTTAGCAGTGTCCAGGAACGTTTTTGTTCAGGAGGTTGGTAGATGTAGCTGTAGGCTTTAGTTTAACTTGTGTCATTAATCTCCTGAAAACGTGTGCTGGGTTCTTAATCTAGGGAGAGGAATTGTTCTGCTTTTTGTTGCCCTAATGACACTTGAACTGGATGATTAGAAATAGCATGTTAATTTGCAGTGCCCCTGGCCAGCAGTGGGAGCTGTACAGGTGGCTCTTTTTCCTTCCCCTGAACTGTTCCGTGGATATCAAGAGCATGCTTAATTTTTGGTGCAAGACCAAACTGTGGCTTGAAAAGGGAGAAGCAAGCGGAAAGCGAGGTCGTTCGACTTGGATTTCTGAACTAGCAAAACCAACGTGTGCTTTCTGCACTCTGGCACTTCCACTGTGCTCTGGCATGTGGATAGATGAAACTTTTTTCCACTTCAAGTAAGTTCACAGCAAAATCTCGTGCAACTGGGGTATAAAGCTTGCTGGGAAATCAATTTTTACACAGCTGTCATGCGTAGCAAGGTTAATCTGTCCTGCTTCTGGACTGCTCTTGTAGAACAGGAGCTTCAGTTCAGTGTATTGATGGCTGTCAGACTTCACTGATGTAGGAATCTTATTGTCAACTTCTAATCTAACGCAGGGGTTTGTGATAGTGACACTGCTACGGTCGTTATTTTGATTTGCTCCTTGATACAGCACAGAGCTGGGAGCTGCAAGGAGAAGCAGGAGTCAGTGCCTTTGTGCTGACCGTGGCTGGGCTGAGGGGCAGTGGGTTTCGGGGTGCCCTCTAGCTGTGTCCCTGGCCTGAGCTGCCAGCGTGCTGCGGTCCCCGCAGCAGCCTCGACAGGTGCAGGCGCTGCTGGTCCTTCCAGGGAATTCGTGCACAGGGTGGAAAATGCCCTGCTGGGGCACTTGCTGCAGGAAAAAATAGAATAGCTCTGCTGTTCTTTGCCAGGTACACGTCTAGCGGACAGAGATGGCTCTGATTTGACACTAGTGCCAGGCTGCTGTTACTGAGTGCAGTGAGGCACGAGAGGAGGTGCGAAGGACCACATGGATTACAGTTCCACGTGTGGTTTTGCATTAGCCCCGTTGCTCACATCTGGCTTGTTTAACCAGTTTGTTCATACTGGTGCTACTCGGTGTTCAAGTAGCAATTTGCTATTGCATAGTGCAGCTCTCGTTCTGTGGGTAGATAGCTAAACTGAAACAAGATCATACTGAAATTAACTTTAAAAGGCAGTTGTTAGTTACTGTTGTGTTTTATTTGACACTTTTTATTTCCTGTAGTTTGTCATTGCAGCTTACCTGGTACGTGGCAGTTTTTCATAGCGGCAGTTTTACCCAGGTCTTCTGACGTTTCTACAGGTGCCACTTGCCTCCTCTTCTTCTCTGGGAGGCAGATTTTCTGTCTCTGTTATTTTCAATGCTTTCAAAAAGAGCACAGTGCTGACATTTCTGTTCCTGTCAGCATTTTCTAATATCTTTGATTTCTTTGTAGAGCGCTAATTGGGATATGGGGTCAAACAGCAATAAACAACGTTTATATTCTGGGATTTTAAATTCGTAGAGGTGTTTCTGGGCTAGGACAGACGCTGCCACAGTTTAAATTGATGTAAGCCTTTTAGATATCTTATCCAAATGTTAAAAAGCTGGTTTGTGGGACATGAGACTGATTTTTTTACTGTGTAGTTCTGTGACTTTTTTATAAGTTTATTTCTGTGTGATTGCTGTCACTCTGTTATATAAAGTACACTTTGTAAGGATTTTGTAGGATTTTCTTTTAAGAAAGATTTTAAGATTTTCTTTTAACTAATCTTGTTTGGGTTTTGGAGCTCAGGATTATGAATTGTAGAGTTGGCTGAAGGAGAATTAATTTTTTTGTTCCCCAATAATTAAGGCGGTTCAGATGTTTCTTGCCAGACTGAACGTTTATGCTAGTGAACACTGAATGGACGACGAGATGCCCAGGCAGGAATATTTTCTCTAATGAGGTGCTATCTTGTTTGCTTTGGGTCTTACAGCAAAATAAACTATAACTGTTCTGTTAAATGATAGCCAGAAAGGAACAAGTACATTTCTGTTTTCCTTCCACAATTATACAGAGCTTTCTATAAATGCCTTTACAAAATATGTGATATTTGCAAGTTAACATTTAATAAACCGAAACTCCTGCACCAAGTTTTACAGCACTGTGCACACTTGTAAGGTATGTACATAAGCTGTCCATCACTTGCTTCCAAATGTTCTCAGAGTTTATGCTCAGTGTATTAGAGACAGATATGAAGAAAATAAATTGCTTCTTTTGGTAGGGACATACCTGCTGTGTTTTTCTCTCTGAGCCGGCAAATCGTGGTGCTGCATGATACAACCATCCTCGATGACGTGCCTGAGATGGAGGGATGTCAGCTGTAACGTTTTGTTAGATGGCTTTTCCGTGCAGGATTGTGGTGGTTCTGCTTTAACACCTGTGAAAGGTCTGAAATAATGCTGAGTGCTGCTTGAAACACTGCAAAAAAAGGAGTTGAGGATGGAAAAAGACAGTCATTAAAGTAATACAGGCCAGTTGGAAACAGGAAACAAATTCCTGGAAAAAGGCTTTGTGAAAACTAGAAACGTTCTTCATTTCACCCATGGCTTGGCCTATAGAAATGTTCTCAACAGTGTTCTGGAACACGAAACTCCTGGACTATGATTCTGCTTCAGCAGAGAGCGTTGAGCACGTTTCCTACTTTCCTTTCCATATCTGGAAGAAAGGTTAGCTGTCCTTGCTTGTTGTGTGTTGTCTTGGTTCTTTTTTTTGTAGCAGTACTCCAAAAATGAGAACAGCGTTCTACAAACACGATTCAGCCAGCTTTTCATCTGGGTTCCACCTGTGCACAGTGCATTGTACCAGATATTTGTGGTGATGTTGGTGTTTGGGGGACAGGCTGAAAAACAAACAAAACCCAAATGTTTTATCACAAAGCAAGAAAAAATGGTTATGGGGATTTTTTTTTTTCTGGTAGCCCCTGTACAAGGCTGCATGTCGAAGGTCCTTGTAAGGTAGAAGTCAAGATTGCTGTCTTTCACGGGCCTTTAGACAGATGGACATGGCAACAGTAAAAAAAAAAAATCTGTGCTTTATTTGGCTTTTTTCAAAGATTGGTAAGCATGATTTAGAAAACACGAAACTTTGCAATACAACCTTCCCTTTTGGGTGGGAATAGGACTTAATTGCTGCTTCAGAGAAAGTGTAATCTTCAAGTAGCCTCGAAACCTTTTTTCAGTGAAGTAAACAGAAGAAATTAATAGCTTTAAACAAGTTCATTTTATGGTTGAACACAGGGTAAATGACATTCCCGCTGTTGGATCAGGAGTTTAATAACATGCAGTAATTTATGAGGTTGTGTTTACTGTTGTTTTCTTTTTTTAAAACTTACACCCCTCTCGCAGTGCGGGGAAGGATACTGAAATGTAATTGTAGACCTGTCAAAACAGCTCAGTGGACTGGTGGCACCCTTTGAAGACGGCGACATGGATGGATTTGTCAGGAAAACAATCGTGTCTCTTGGCTTGTGGATTCTCTTTAACAGTATGGGAAAATCCTTAGTCCTGAGTCCAGTAAGACCATACAAATGAGCTGAGAGAAATGACTTCAATGCAGCTGTACTGGTGTAATGGCAGCAATTAGTATGTGTGTAACAGGGGGTGGGATGGGGCAGGGGGGCGGAGGAAGGAGCGAACAAGTGGACTTAAAGTTCTGAAAGCTTGAATAACCGTTTTAAAAACTCCATTCTTCATAAAAGCACATGAAGGAATTCGTGGTGAAGTGGGCGATGAACTCCTGCAGCGTTCGCTCTCTGCTGAAAGACTTCAGACGTGATGAGCGCGGCACTGGACGACAGCTCGAGGAAGCTGGGCCCCTGTTGCTCGTTGGCAGCAGGGAGTATCACAGTGTGCACACAAAGATGCTTCAGTGCATTTTCTTCTCATTGCAGGTTTGCTTCCTGATTTCCTAATTGACAGCTGAGACGGTGACACCTGACTATTGAAGGGTGCAAGGTGTGAACCTGCTCAAGCAGGTAGGCACACAGTGGAAAATAAAATCTTCAAAAGTGGGAAAACTGCCTGCCTTGGGATTTGGCACCTTCTTTTATCACCCTTCTGTCCTGGTCATACTGCAAACTAAACGGTATCAGTTGAATTATTTTTTCATTGTTACTGTTGCTGTGCCAAAAGGACTGTGCAGGATTTGAAGAAAAAAACTTCAACCTTATGTCTTGGAATATTTTGGCCTGTCTTTCCAAATAGCTGGTAAACGTCAGGGTAAAATAGAACAATTTTGTAACGTGTTCTTGAATGTCCTGGAAGAGGTGGTGCCTACTTGTTTTTGGTTATTGCTGTGTTGAGTGATTTTTGGATTTACGTCCCGGTGACTTTTGGGACTAAAGGAGTGCTTCCCCTGTATACTTTAATTGACCAGATTGTTAAACGCCATACTGATCTAAATTGTTAAACCCTCGTATTTCCCCCTCCCCTCCCAATTTGTTCTTTTGCTGAAGTGTGGCACTGATTTCAGTCAGTCGCCATAAAAGTTCTGCTTAACTATCTGGAATAATTAAGTTCTGAAGCTGTGGAAGTGTACAGCAGTAAGAGACTCTTGACAGTGACTTTTTTCATTGCTGTGCAGCAGAGTTGAGCTGTTCTTTTGAGTTCTGCCGGGGAATTAAAACAGGTAAAACATTAACTTTGCTGTCACTGTCTCATGACAAAAGTTTGTCTTCCAGGCAAAGTCCGTTGTGGTTTGCATAGCAGAACCATTTGCTCTTCCATCGTTTTCACCCCTTTGAGTGGTATGATGGATCACTGTGAGGATTTAGAAATGGAGAAGGCAAACTTTGCTTCTTGAAACAGGTTCCAAATTTTAGGAAACACTTACTCTGAGAATGAGAGGCTTCCAGGCCATTTGTTGGTTCTCCATGTCAGACCTCTCCTTATTTGTCAGTAGGGCGCATACGAACGGGTTCACAGAATCAGTCTGGATTAGAAACATTCTTGTAAACCAGAACATTTGTAACCTCTGTCATGACGTGGATTAAGGTGGGCATGTAGATGAACAACAGTTTGTTGTATTGGCAGGATGGGAACTTTCTACATGGGCCTTGTTGTTAAGGTAGTAATTAGTCCAACTGCACATCAGCAGAAATATCCTCAGAGGTATCTGTGTTAATTCTTGCTCTGGTTCTTTAGGAAGTAGATCTCTGCAGAGCACTGTCTGCAAAGGTTACTGCTAAACATCAAAGAGGAGAGACTTCGGCCTTTGTCTTCACTTGGTAGATGACTCAAGCTGCCTACAATTCGCAGTAGGAGTCCTGTTTGGATAAGGTCCTTAGAAAACAGGGTTTTATGGCTTTTTCTGTGTAAATGTTAAAGATTCACACCGGTTTTATAAAGACAAAAGTCTCGTTGCTCTCGACTAGAGCTCATTCTGTGCAGCGTAGCGTTAGCTGCCTTTGTGAGAGTCTTCCCTTTCTGAATGGCACTGTTCGTAGTGTGGGGAAAAAAAGTTATCTTAAAGCAGCTCAAGAACTTCCAGAATGAAGTAGCTTGTATAAATATTACTAAAACTACACGCAGAACTGATCAGCTTGTGTGCCTGTTTCCTTCCCAAGAAACAGCTTTGAAGAGTTCCCGGTGCGTGCCTTTGGGTCAGGGTGGGAAATCGCTGGTGCCAGGAAGGGGATGCGAGTAATGTGGCAGTCAGTGTTCTGCTGGAAGAAATCCGATTCACTGGAGTCACTGATTGCTGTCAAAGACTTTCACAGCTCAAGCAAACTTTCTACCTCTGCTTTCCATAAGCTATGGAAGAAGGATTCAAACTGGTTTATTCCAATAAGAGATGTTTGCTGGTTTGTTGTACTGTTCAGTGAAGCATTGTCTGTTGCTAATTTTCAGAGAAGACTGAACTTTACACCTCTGAGTTGGTGGTACTCACAGAACGAGAGAATCTGCAGATTTTCATGTTTTCTGCTGAAATGTCCATGTTTCTTACAATAAGAATCTAAAAAAAATTATAATGCTTAATAATTTGCTTTGGCAGTGTGCTTTCAGCAGACTCACCAGCTCGCTGTTAGATTTCTTTCAGGGACCAACTTCAGTGATTTCAGATCTGGCTTTCAGTAAACGTAACTAATTTCAAATCAGTGTGGGGTGGGTGAATTTAGGGAACTAATTTGGCATACAGATTGTTTCTTCAGATCTGGGGTGTGTTGAATGATGAGGGATGTTACAGTGTAGTTTTATGGCAGATAAATAAGATGTCAGGTGCCTGTTTCCAAACAGGGTGATACCTCACCAGAACTTTTAAACTCAGCGCACTCAGGATCAGTGCAGATGTTTTTGAATGTGAGATTATACCACTTGGCAAGATCATCTGGACTGTTTGTAACTGGGTCTGCAGACAAGACAAAGCAAAAAAGCAGAGCTTTGAAAATCCCTGGCAATGTTTCCAGGGGCGCATGCCCTCCAGATGTGTGCAGTCGCGCTTGTCCCTGCTGGGAGAGGAGGCCTGGATCAGGCAGCAGGGATCAGCTGTGTCCCTCTCAAGGTAGTGGTGGAGCTGGTGTGGTGGGAAGGCAGGTCTGAAGCTGTGAGCAGGAAGGGAAGATGACCTCTGGCAGAGCAGGTTGCTAACAAGTTTCCGTAGTGCCATGTTAACGCTTCCACTGCAGTCCCCTCTCAGCACGAGACACGTTTCACCTTCCAGTGTTTGAGTGGCATCCCCTGGGCTCCGTGAGGCTGGGTGCATGTGTGTGCCTGGGGGGCACAGCATGGAAAAGCTGTAATTGGGTGAGTGAGCAGCCACTCCTGCTTTCAGTTTGCCTTTGCTCCGTTTACAGGCACCTCTTTCTTGAGACTCGGAGTAATCCTTAGGATGTTTTGTAAGAACAGATTATTTCCAAACAGTTTTCTTGGCTTACCAGCTGAAGATGTTTTATCTGAGTCAGTCACTAATTCTCACAACAATTAAATGTATATTGCAAGAAGTTTGCAACTGCAGTGTTAACACAGGGGAGCCGAGATGACTCCAATACTTGGTTTGCTTAACCTTTGGAGTGCTGATAGAGCACAGCAACTCAGTTTCTGTTCTCGTAGGAGTTACCTCACATGTTAGGAATGAATCAACTTCAAAAATATTGACAAAGATAAAAAAAAACTTTGAAGAGAGCTTTGGCACGCATCACACATAGCAAACTAATGTTTGGCTGGTAAGTGCTGTGGATCAAAGTAAAATACAAAGACTCTTAAACAGCTCAAAGCAAGCGATACGTCTACAGTCTAGTTTGGAGCCTTCTCAGGGCTTACTGAGAGTTGCTGCTACTTTTACTCCACTTGGTCAGTCAGCTCTAACCACGTGATTTTTCTTGGAAAATGATTTATTTCTCCTAGAAGAGACGCCACAAGCTGTGGCAAAAGCTGTTTTAATTATATTAGTCTATTAAAATATTTCAAGCAGTGTGGAGTTCAGTGTAGATAAAGGTAACTTACAGATCATAGTATGTTGAGTGTAGTTTGTTCTTGATCTACAGAGTTGTCATTTAGTAGAGAACTATCCTGAAATTACATAGTTTATGGGATTTGTTTGTAATCTTAAAGCATGTAACTTTTTTTCCTGGTTTTATTGTATGAAAGCCCCTAAGGATTCGGTTGGGAGCAGCTCCCTGGTTTAGATCCCAATTTAGATCACCCTCTTGTGTCTTCTAGTAGTTCCTGTTACCATTTGTTTCTTCTGCTTCTCCTCCGTGTTTGGGTTTACTGTGCTGAACTTGTGATTGTTTTGGCCAATGGACTAGGAGATGTGGCTGTTTCAACAGATGTATTTAGTAAATGAAAAGGAACTATTTATAAATGCCTTTCACACGTTCTTTCTCTGAAAAATGACCATGCATAAGAAGGAACTTTGCTTCTTCAGTGGTAGTGCTTTTTGATTTTCATCCCTGGTGTGATTTATTTTTTCCTAATGT